GGTGTGAAAAAGCAATTGTGGAGAACGGAGAACAAGTTTATCAAGAAACTGTAGTTGGATTGTCCGACAGTCCTGAGATCGGTGCTACAAACTGAATGTTTGTGTCCCACCGAAATTCACGCTGAAACCTAATTCCCACTGTGATGGTATTTGGAGGGGGAACCTTTGGGAGGTGACTCTGCCCTCGTGAATGGAATTAGTGCCCTTATAAAAGAGACCCAGAGCACTCCCTTGCCCCTTCTGCCATGTGAGGACACAGCGAGTAGACAGCTGTCCAGGAACCAGAAAGCAAGCCTGACCAGACTCCAAATCTGTCTGCGCCTTGATCTTGGAATTCCCAGCCTCCAGAACAGTGAGAAGTAAATGTCATGTTTAAGCCTCCCAGTCTATGGCAGTTTTTTTTTTTTTTAACTTTTTATTGAGATTATGATAGTTTACAACCTTATAGAATTTCAGTTGTACATTATTGTTTGTCAGTCATGTTGTAGGTGCACCACTTCACCCTCTGTGCCCATCCCTCACCCCCCCTTTACCCTGGTAACCACTAATCTGTTCTCTTTGTCTACATGTTTAACTTCCACATATGAGTGGAGTCATACAGAGTTCGTCTTTCTCTAGCTGGCTTATTTCACTTAGCATAATACCCTCAAGGTCCATCCATGTTGTTGTGAATGGGACGATTTTGTTCTTTTTTATGGCTGAGTAGTATTCCATTGTATATATATGCCATATCTTCTTTATCCAGTCATCAGTTGATGGGCACTTAGGTTGCTTCCATGTCTTGGCTATTGTAAATAATGCTGCAATGAACATAGGGGTGCATGGGACTTTTGGAATTGCTGATTTCAAGCTCTTTGGATAGATACCCAGTAGTGGGATGGCTGGGTCATATGGTATTTCTATTTTTAATTTTTCGAGAAATTTCCATACTGTTGTCCATAGTGGCTGCACCAGTTTACATTCCCACCAGTAGTGTATGAGGGTTCCTTTTTTCTTATGGAAGTTTTTTATAGTAGCCCAAATGGACTAAGACAATAGGGAATCATGAAATTATAGAAGACTCAATTTGTCTTGTATGACTTTTTCTCTAGTAGCATTTGGCTGCTGGGGTGGGAAATATGGAAAAACTGGATTGCTGCATTCATAAACAGGGCGGAGGAATTTCCTTGGTTTTTCCATGTAAGGTAGAACTGCAGAGGAAGAACAGAGTTCAGGGTATTGATAAAGAATGTTACTACCAGTAATATGATGGATTATAGAATCTCAGCTGGATACAAAGAGACATGAAGAAAGGCTCATGGATTGAGAGAAAGTAGATGAGTGAGACAACTGGAGAGTTCTTCTTAGGTCAAAGAGCAGTGGTAGGGGAACAGGTGAGCAAAGTAACACCAACATGTATTTCCCTGTACACACAAAAAGAAAATACATACATTCCTTGATTAGGGAAGCCCGAGCACTTATAAAGAAACATTCTTACCCAAAAAGGACATACACAAAATGATGTAGCTATGATACAGTTTATTTCAACATATCAAACCAAAAACATAACAAAACAACTCATTTCTTTGGGGGGGGGGGAATCCCAAATTCTATATATGCAGGGTTGGCTTAATTGACCATAATTTATTTTAGCAAAAAATATTTAGGTATACCACACCTAGTAAAGCTCTCTATTTACACAATAGATATCAAATAACTTTGCTACATGATCAGCTATTTGGAAAAATCAAGACATAGTTGTAAACCAGAGTCAAATGCATAAGTTAAGAACATTGTGAACTGAGTCTGAAAAAGACTGAATTGTTAAATTTTTATCTGTACAAAACACAAAAAATCATTCTCCAGCCTTCCATTTTCACCAATATTTTCTTTAACAGAATTAAGCCCAAAATTTGAAGGTTTAAATCCTTTCTTCCTAAGGCCTCAGGAATACCAGATTTTCCTTCAAAGCTGTAGCTGTCTAAAAGGGAGCAGACCATTTAAAACAAAGATACACAGATTTCACTTCTGTGCCACTCATGCAGATTCTGCTGGGGAAGATTTCCTGAGCTGGCTACCAAGTCACTCAACTCAGTTCGGAAACATAATACGTGATCACAGGACTAAACTGGCTTTCAGGCAGAGCAGCAGCAGCTTTCTTTATCGCTGAAAATCAGTTAGTGACATTTAGCCCTCAGCTTAATCTGCACAAATGCAATTTGGGAATTCTATGACAATGATGTTAGCATATTTAAATGTAAAATGAAAAATTCTAAATATTAAATAATATTTTTTAAATATGCAAGCTGCTATATTTTCTCAATCATCTTTTTCATGAACAAATGAAAAATAAAATGGCCAAAGAAGGAGAAAAATATGGATGTTCCAAAATGAGACAACTGTAAAAATCTCATATATCAAGACATTACTGGGATAAGCTTATGTTGTAAGAATAATTGTGTATTATTGTATATAATTGGACAGCAAAACAGCCCTGTCTGAAAGCACTGGGTCAAAGTGTCTTCCCAAGTCCTTCCAAGCCATGATTCTACGCACCACAATGAGACAGTTCAAACAAATGCAATCTAACCTAGCACTACAAGTTTTTAGATTCCTAAAGAATGAACTTAAGTTTACCATACCAATGATTTAAATACATGCGCTGTTAAAAAAAAGGTTGTAAACATACTCTGTGTTTTTTTCCTTATCTGCAAGATAATATTAAAAAGATATTCTACAACTTCTTGATTCCTTAAGAACTAAGAATCAAAATCCTAAACATAATAAATAAAAATGCAACCTAGAGGTCTGGAAAAGTGTTTAGAACATCGAATAGAATAATCCAGTGCATTAAAAATCCAGTATTTTGGTATTAAAACTTCTTCATCTCAATACAGGTAGGTTTATTGCTGCTATAAATAAGCTTCCTATTAAGGCACCTGTCATCACCTCTGAGAAAGACTTGGATTCAAAACGATGGAAATATGGACTGTAAAACTGTTCTTCTTTCATTCTGATGTCATTACAGACATTATTGATTTTAATGTTAAGTTTTTGCATTGCAGGAGATAAATATCTTTGAACCTATTACCTGAATATAGTTAAAATGTTTATGATACTTTGATACTTTAATTAACATAGATGATAAGATACCACACCTTAATTAAAGTATGTGATACTTTAATGGGGAAATAGGCAAAATCAAATCAAGATGGATGGCAAAGGACTAAACACAAAAATATGATAAGCTCTAAGAAAAAAAAATTACATTGTGGTGATGATGAGCAGATCTTGGCCAAGTCATTTAATTTCTCTCAGCCTCACTCTCTCCATCAGTAAAATTCCAACACTAGCTGCTCTGTCAAGCTCATACGGTGGTTGGGAGATCAAATGAGGTGATGTAAAAACACTTTGCAAACTATGAAGCACTGAACAAATAAATGGGTATTATCATAGGCAAAAATATCTCAAGTTTCTGATATTCTCTCTAAAAAATAAAGTTATTGCCTGCTCCTTTTGCATTCACTTGAGAACTCCCAGTTTTAATCAGTTAAATAGTTGTGGTATGAATGGAGCAAAAATTTATGCAAAGAGAAAATTTCTAATTTTTAGCTTCCAGAATTTTATGCAGTAGTTTGTTGTGAATGGGCAACCCCCCTGCTTGCTGGGGCTCAGGCTACCTCTTGTCACTTCCTAACGATAAAGAGGGCAGACTTCTCAGAGGCTTCGGCCCCCGGCTTTTCCTCAATCTCCTCCGCAGAGACCTCCATGTCCCTCACCATCTGCTATGTGCAGCACGCATAGGTCCCTGAAAATAATTCTATTTCTCATAATGGCATAAAAGAGCTTTAAGAATATTAAAGAAAAACAGCTAAGGTCAATCACAGGTGCATTACTCAGCTTGGCACAAATTTGAAATGGATGAATAATCCTAACCAGCTTCTCCCTGGCTTAGTCCACAGCCCTTCTTCTACGTATAAAACGTTCTGCGGGAGCTTTTTCCAAACTATGTTCTGAGGAACACTAGTTAAGTGAGATGTTGACAGGTGAAAAACGGATCTGTGTTAAGTAAGTTTGGACTACATAGGGGGAAAATGTTTACGTACTGCAGAATTTCGCAGTCTTTGATGTACTGACTGTACATCCTAAAGACGAATGGACCATATAGTATTTCCCAAACTCATCTGACCACAGAATCCCTTTTCTTCCCACAAAATATCTACAGGGGCTAACAGCTCTTGGACTACTCTTTGGGAAATGCCATTCTAGCTCATTTATCCTGGTTTTTAAACACTCCAGGGCAACATCTGGCAATAGTTACCCTTTTAATTTCTGATGGAGCAGAATCCTTTTGCTTACAAGGTCAACTACCATGATCACCTCCTGGATTCCACTCCATAAGTAACCTGCCCAAAGCAACTAACAACTAAACTTCCTTTACTACATACGGAGGAATTCAAAGAAGTTATTCTCAAGTTAAAGAGAATTATAATCTTTTTTAGGAAATCTTTATATTCTTCCCTACACATTAAAAATACAAAGATTTAACCCTAGATCTTAGGACTTAGAATCCAAATTACTTTGAGGAAATGGGAGCATTTTATCCCAATATCACTGCAACTTAAAGTATTAATAAGTAGTCATAGTAGTGATGGTGATGGTGGTGGCAGTACTGGCCAAGCACTTATTTTGTGCCTTAACTCTCATGAATTTAGGAACTACTGTTACATTCATTTTAAAGATAAGTATACTGAGGTTTAGAGAGTTTAACTGACTTGCCAAGGGTGACACAAAGTAGTAAGGACAGTATCTCAAACTCCTATCTGACCCCTTACTTCATGCTCTTAATCACTACATAATGCAATTCAAAAAAAATTTTTTTTTTGAGGAAGATTGGCTCTGAGCTAACATCTGTTGCCAATCTTGCTCTTTTTGCTTGAGGAAGATTGTCGCTGAACTAACATCTGTGCCCATCTTCCTCTATTTTATGTGGGATGCCACCACAGCACGGCTTGATGAGTGGCGCTAGGTCCGCACCCAGGATCCGAATCTGTGAACCCTGGGCCACTGAAGCGGAGCATGTGCACTTAACCACTACGCCACTGGGCCGGCCCCCTACATAATGCCATCTTATATCTTAGTGACAAAACAAAAGCATTTAGGTCACATTCTGGTTGTTAAACAGGAAAATTAGAGTGTATTTATAAAAATTCAACTTGATTGAAATTTGGTTTTGGATTCCTTTTGAGCAAACTCCTATTCCCTAAAGGAGATAAAGTTTTTTTTAAAAAAAAGCAGAGAAAAATAGACTGCTATTTACCAATGACAGGTTTAGATATGGGAAGGTTTTAAAAATCCGCATCCAAGGTGAAGACATGATCTGTGGTTTCCGCCATAACTGCAAAACGCTGATACTCTGAAACTCGTTTCTCAAAGAAATTTGTTTTCCCTTCTAAAGAAATGTTTTCCATAAAATCAAAGGGATTTTCTGCCTGAAAAACCTGAAAAGAAAAGAAATGTTATTAGACATTCTGAAGAAGCCAAATTATACCCCAGAACAAGAGCAACAGATAACTACAACAGGGCTCAGGTCTCCCAACACCCGTCTAGTCACCTATAGGATCACACTGTTCCCTAAGGTCCTGGAGACACTCGAGGCAGATAAATTTTAAGATGACTGAGATTACCTACTAACTTCCTCAGGAAACTATACTAGCATTTCTGGTATTCTAAGAAGTAGAAAGAAAAAAAAAAGACTATTTCAGGAAATGAAAGATTTAATACCAACCAAATTAAAATATTTTCACAGCTTGAGAGATCCAACACACCATAGTTATGATAGGCATTTTTCTCAGGTATTATTACCGTTAGTCAGTCACATGCACACGATACTACAAAATATTAAATTACCAACAATGTCCTGTGGACCTAAATACGTTTTTTAGTTCATAAGAGAATAGATAATCAGCAAATTGATGTTAAGGGACCATGATGAGGGAAGACAGAATAAATGCCATCCATATTGACTCCAAATAAAATAAGCACTATTCATAGATGTCTCAAACAAAAAGTGGTACATATGTCGACAAGAAGCTCTTTTACTGCTTCTGAACTTAAGAAGCAGACTTGGAGATACAGCTTGATGGAAACTATGAGACATTTCAATGATTCATGAGGGCAATAAAAGAGGATTTTGGAATTTAGGAGTATTCCAGCAGGAATTATGAACACCATAGACAAGAATAGATTCAGATAATCCAATTAAAAATGGGCAAAGAATATGAATAGACAAATAGAGATTTCTTTAAAGACAAGAGGCTGATAAACACATGAAAAGATGCTTAAAGTCATTATCCGTTAGGGAAATGCAAATCAAGACCACAATGAGATACCATTTCACACCCACTAGGACTGCTGTAACAAAAAAGACATAAAAAGTGTTGGTGAGGATGTGGAGAAACTGGAACCCTCATACACTGCTGCTGTTAATGCAAAATGGTACAGTTGCTTTAGAAAACAGTCTGGTAGTTCCTCTAATGATTAAAAACAGAGTTACTATATGACCCAGCAATTTCACTTCTAGCTATATATCCAAGAGAAATGAAAACATATGTCCACACAAAACTTATACATGAATGTTCATAGCAACATAATTCATAATAGCCAAGAAGTGGAAAAAAATCCAAATGTCATCAACCAATAAATGGATAAATAAAATTTGGTATAGCCATACAATGAAATATTATCTGGCCATAAAAAGGAATAAAGTACTGATACATGCTACAACATGAATGAACCTTGAAAACATTATTCTAAGGAAAGAATCCAGCCACAAAAGACCATACACTGTACGATTATATTTATATGTAATGGGATATACAGAATAGGTAAATATAAAGAGACAGAAATTAGATTAGTGGTGCCTAGGGCTAAAGTCTGGATGGGGGAAAGAAAGGAAAGTGACTGATTGCTAATGGGTACAGAGTTTGTGGGGTGATAAGAATGTTCTAAAACAGATTGCTGTTATAGTTGTACAACTCTGTGAATATACTAAAAACCATTAATTGGACATTTTATAGGTGAGTTGCATGCTCTGTGATTTACATCATGTATATATGTTACATATATATATATACTTTATAAAATATATGTATATTTTAATAAAAGCTCAGATGACATACGTGGTTGAGTTGTGGAGCTCTGTGAAACTGCCTGCCAGAAACAGTGTGTTTAGGAAGAAATGAAAATTTGAGCTATCACACACAGCAAGGTATAGTGGAAAGAAAAGTGGACCAATAGTCATAAATTCACTGGATTTTAAAACTGGGGGCCTTCCAAAAACTTTAATCCAAATCATTCATAGCATGGACATAGCAACTAAGACCAGGCTAAATTAAGTGGCTTATTTTTGACACATAGAAGTACTCAACATTTATGGACTAATCCTAAAATAAAAGTGGAAAACATCATTAATGTGGCTCCTATTCAGAATTCTGCATACACGACAACCGTTTCTTAATTTAAATAATCTCTTATTTCACCAAAAACTACAATTATAAGAATAGTTCTCTTTCTAGTTCCTTGAGTTCAAAGTTTAGTTCATGTATTTGAAATTATCTTATTTTCTTAATATACACATTCAAGGCTATACATATTCCTCTCAAGATCCGTTTGGCTGCATTCTACAAGTTTTAATGTACAGTAGTCTTATTGTCATTTAGTTTATATTTTCTACTAGTTTATATTTTCATTCTCAATCTCATTTTAAAGGGTATCTTTTCAATTTCTAAATAATGGAACTTCTGGGCAATCTTTTACCGTTAATTTCAAATTTAAAATCTAAGAGGTCTATATAACTTCTGCTTTTTAGAATTTACCTAGATATTTTGAAGAACTTTGGAAAAGTGATGTTTTATACTATGTTTAGATTTTCTTCTCTAGGAAGCATGCTTTATATACCTAGAGTTAGCAAGTTCCCAAAGAGAAAACTAGACCCAGGGGTTCATAATTTTCCAATAAGTGGGAGAACATGGTTGTGTGGGTGAGAGGATATGACCGTGGGTAAAGGACAGTGAGTTCACTTCAAGGCATAAGTAAGCAAATTAATTTTCCTATAACAAACATATTGGTATAATTTAGGAACAAATAAAATTTTTTTTTACTACACAGCTTATAAACTTAAGAGATCATATTAATACAGTTATAACCTTGATTTCTCTCATTAATTATCAGTAAACATAGAGAGGATCTTGCAATTAAAATAATAAAATATAAGTAGTTTATCTTACAAAAAACCTTTGCCCCATCTCACTCTTTCATTACTGTATTTCTGTGGGTATCAGAATATAAATGCATTACCAAGAAAGGCAATGATTACCCCAGCATCATGGATTTCATAAGGCTTCTCATGAAACACAATTTAAACTTACATTTCCTCGCTAAGAAATCAAAATCTATACATTTTTAATTACCATGGGATAGTACACAGTAAAATTCTGTGAATGTTCCACTTATGTCGAATACAACATGACCACTTAAAGCGCATTTTCTGTATGTCTGACACTATTTTAAGTTCTTTAAGTATACCAATTCATCAATAATACTTTGAGGTAAGTATTATCATTATCTCCATTTTAGGGATGAGGAAGCTGAGATGGAGGTTAAACAACTTGCCTACAATCACACGGCTGGAAAGTGGTGCAACCGGGATTCACAGCCAGGTAGCCTGGCTGCAGCCTCCATCTGTTAACTCATGTGAAAAGCACACCGCTTTATGAAATTCAGATACATTATCTCTGATAAAGAAAATGACAGAAATAATTCAAAGACAACTGAGTTCAAAGAGTCAAATTATGACAGCTAATGTCTTCCTAATAACTATTTCCTACTTAAAAGAATTAACCCAAAAATTAGAACATAGACACATAGGGATTGATATGAGGTTAAACATATACACACATGTTAAATTCAATTACTTAGAGATAATCCTATTAAATAAATACCTTCAATTATTACAAAGTAATTTATTGAGCTTATTAGTTCCAAAATTTATCAGCTTCCTACTTCTATTATGAATTTCATTTTAAGTTTCAAAGGATTTTGCAAAACCAATTTGTTCACGCAAAACAAGGCTCTGTCATGGACATTTTAAAAGTAGCCTAGTATGTTACAAACGCTTTCAGTGAAATATTTTAGTGGCCTCAACTACAACATTTTAGCCTGTAGTAATACATTATTAAACACCTTACCTTTGAGAATCCAAGTTCCACAAGTAATCTGTCAGCTACAAACTCAATATACTGTTTCATCAAAACACAATTCATTCCAATGAGGTCAACTGGCAAGGCTTCTGTTAAAAACTCCTGAGATATAAAGAAAAACAGAATAAAGTATAAAGACAGAACAATACATAAGTAGGTATTTTCCAAATAAAAAGGAGGTTTTACTTTTATTAATCTTCTAAGTCAGTGATCTTGTTCAAGGAAAGTACACTAGGATAAATCCTTTCACTCTGGCAATGTCCATTTGTTGAAAAATGTTTGGGAGTATTACTATTCACATTATTTCACATTCTCAGATGGCCAAAATAAATGGAAACTGCCAAATTACTGGTATTTTAAAAAGGAGCACATGTAGGGGCTGGCCCCGTGGCCGAGTGGTTAAGTTCGCGCGCTCCGCTGCAGGCGGCCCAGTGTTTCGTTAGTTCGAATCCTGGGCGCGGACATGGCACTGCTCATCAGACCACGCTGAGGCAGCGTCCCACATGCCACAACTAGAAGAACCCACAACGAAGAATACACAACTATGTACCGGGGGGCTTTGGGGAGAAAAAGGAAAAAATAAAATCTTTAAAAAAAAAAAAAAAAAAAAGGAGCACATGTAGGACCTGAATTCATATGCTTTTTCAATAGAAAAAAAAGATACTTGGTTCTGAAATATCTAGAAAATCCAAAGATAATCACTGTGAGGAACATGAATATGGAAGGGAATTAGGAAAGAGAAAAAACTCAATTAACAAATAAAATGAAAAAGAAATAAAAATGGATTGGAGCTTTGGGAGATAAAATGAACTCCAACTATATTGAAAGACAGTGGTAAAGCGTTAATAGAGGAAAAATAAAAACACATTAACTGTTTGGATTTAGTTCTCAAAACGATTAAAGATACTAAAATGCATTTTATGCCTTTTCCCCTCCCATTATGAAAACAATGGTTGCTAAATTGTGCAGTATTAAAAAAAAAGTTAAAAACATTTATTTTACTTTTAAACTACAATCATGTAACACATAATGACATTTTGGCCAACGACAGACTGCATATATGACAGTAGTCCCATAAGATTAGTACCATAAAGCCCAGGTGGGAAGTAGGCTCTACCATCTAGGTTTGTGTAAGTACACTCTATGACATTTACACAACAACAAAATCACCTAATGACACATTTCTCAGAACATATCTCTGTCTGCATGACTGCAGTTCTTTCAAATGATAAAAATATATTCTAAGTGGAGCATGAAGATCTTTCTAGTCAGAGATCTTTATATGCTATAAATTAAGTTTACTATTCACTAACATATTTATTTATTCATTCTATAAACATTTGGTGCACACTTCAAGCTAGATTCCGTTAGGTTTTTGAGAATACAAAACAAACAAGAAACCATTACTGCCCTCCAGTAGCTAAAAATCTAAAATATAAAGCTAAAATAATTAAAATAGTTTGTTATGGCATGAAATTTGACAGATCGATGAGACAGGAACAATAGTCCTGAAACAGAATTTAGTATACATAAAATCTTAATATATACTTCTTACTTATAAACCAAATTATAAACTGACATAATAATTGCAATACTTCATCTATTGGTACTGTCAGGTCAACCATGTAAAATTGCTGATATTTGTTTTGACCTACGAACTGGCACTTCATATGAGTCAACCTAATACAATGTACAAATGTTAGAGAAAGAGATGTGCTAATCACATAAACTTCCCTGCTTACCTGCTCAATTTCAACAGCATTAACAATGATCTCCCTGACCCTTTCTTCCGAAGGCTTATTTACTAAGTACTGAAACATCAGGCAAGCAAAGTCACAGTGAAGCCCCTAAAATAGAAGAAAAATACCATTGTCAAAGAACATCTAATCAGCCATTTTCACACAGTGATGTGTTAGGCATTCTATAAAATAGGTTGTAGGAATGCAACATGGAACTTCTGAAAGACAGAAGAGGGATGAATAGGGCCAGGAACTTCTTTCCTTCAAATCTCATTAAAATGCCAATTATATGTAAACTATCATAAAGGAAAAAAAAAAAGTAAATCTGGTGGTGGCTCCACCCAGGCTTAAAATCTTGCTCTTAAGATATAGCCCAGTGTCAATTCCCTTGGATGTATATTCCCAAATCTTCTGTACTAATAAAGTCACCCTGACTTTTGGTATGTAAATAAAAATGCCTCAAGCCCCATCCCCCAAAAAATAAAATAAAAAAATAAAGTCTCTATAAAAAAATGCCAAGTATAATAACCTATAATGAAAGTTTCAGTGCCAGCAAATCTTAGTTCATCAACATGAAAGATTAACAAAAACAAAAAATCTGCAAGCAAAAGCATTTTAGAAAAGAAAACAAAGAAGAGCCAAAATGAAAATTCATTCATTTTTAACATCTAAAAAATTTAAGAAATGATTAAAAAATAATACTAAGCATTTAAAGAACAGGGGAAACAAAGATATTTCAAAAAGATAACATTTATATTAAATAAAAATGGCTAAAGATAAAATGAATTCAGTACAAGAAAATGGAAACTGAAGAATTAAGAGTATCATTTGAAGCTGTATAAAGCAGAAATGACATTACAGATAACTCAACCAAAGAAAATAAATTTGTGAACTATCTTGAGAACAGAATGGTTATGCAAATACAAGAAATGGCATAGAATCTTAAATAATTGGAGAACAGAGCTTGGAGATTCAACCTACAATAATCAGGATCCCAAAACCCAGAACAGATGGTATAAAGCTGACAACAACAGAACAAAATTTCAAAAAGTCAAAACAAAAAAGAGAAAGAGGCCAGAGATATACAAAGATGATGGAGTTCCAAACAAAATTAACAGTTAGAGACTGACACCAAGGCAGAGTCAATTAACATTTCTAAACTGCAAAGAAAAAGAAATAATTTTGTAAGCCACCAAGTGGGGAGGAGGAGGAAGAAACGAACACTTTAAAAGATTACAAATCAGAGTTTGCTTAGGTTTTAAAAAATAAATCAACAAAAACCCAAAGACAATTTAAAGACTGGGACTCAACTCAGGGGCCAGCCCCGTGGTATAGTGGTTAAGTTTGGCATGCTCTGCTTTGGCAGCCCGGGTTCATGGGTTCGGATCCAGACGCAGACCTAAACCACGTAAGCCAGACTGTGGTGGTGACCCACATACAAAATAGAGGAAGACTGGCATAGACGGTAGCTCAGAGCTGATCTTCCTTAAGCAAAAAAAGAGGAGGATTGGCAATTGGCAATAGATGTTAGCTCAGGGCAAATCTTCCTCATAAAAAAAAAAAAAGACTCAAATCAAACGTTGTAGTCCAAGGATTACCCACCTAGTTAAGCTGTCATTCCTAGAAGAAACCATCAGAAAAAAATCTCTCTGAATAGCTAATCTTAGAAGATTTACTAGTGAAACATTTTCCCCAGACTTGACTCAAGAGGATATTTCAAATTACCAAAGGCTGAGTTTCAAATAAACTGCTGGAAGGTGTTAAAGAAAGTGTCGATTAGAACTGACAGCTAGCTACCTATTATAGAGATGAGTCAATCAAAGGTAGGCACTCGTATTGCTAAATCAATAAGTGAATAAAATTAATTTTGAGGTTTAAAGCAATTCCAATCAAAATCCCAATGGAATTATTCTTAGTTAAAAATTTAATCTAAGACTAGAACTTAATTAGTCCAACTACCAAAAAGAAAGGATAATTATATAACATGATAGAGGTGCTAATTATCACAAGGGCAATCAAACCACTATATATATTTATTATATATAAATCAAATTAACATGTTGCACATCTTAAATTTATATAATATTTAAAATCAAATATACTTCAATTAAAAAAAGAATCTGGAAGAACAGATAGGCAGAATCTTATAAGAACACTTTTAATAGGAAAGTTATGACATTTATCCCACTAATTATCAAAACATCAAAAACTACAATAATTAAAATAGTTTGTTATGGCATGAAATTTGACAGGTAGTTTAATGAAAAATAAAAGATAGTCCTGAAACATATTTTAGTGACTTAAGACCTTAATAAATAGAGAAGGCATCACAAGTCAATGGAGAAGGATTACTTAACAAATAGAATTGGAAAAACTTCCCAAGACTAGATGAAATAAAATTAAGTTAAATTCTAACTTATCCTATACTATACTATATTCATACTGAGCTCTATACTTATACTAAACAAATTTCAATTGTATTAGAGTTAAATGTTAAAAAGCCAAGATGAAAATATGTGTGATTATTTAACTTATCTCTGGAAGTGGATCACATAAATTTCAGGCTTTGGTATGTTAAAAGAGCAAATAAAATTAAAAAGCAAAGGATAAACTGGGAAAATATTTGCAATAAATACAGCAAAGTTCATATTTTATACTATATTCATGCAATAAACATAACAAATTCAATAAACAAATACTTATTGAAAGAGCTCAGTCACTGTGTACTAGGAATATTTACCAACAGAAATAAAGGCAAAAGACAAGAATAGGTAAATATAGGAAAAAGAACCAAATGACTAATACCATTATGAAAAAAAGGTTCAATCTAAGTAATAATCAAACAAATGTAAATAAAACCAGTAATGAGATACCATTACCCCTATCAAATTTGTCATATATTTAACACATAAATCCAAATTCTGGTGGGGGTATGGGAAGAAAAGATATGTTCACACATTGCTAGATGGGGCTGCAAATTGCTATAAAATTTCTAGGAAGAAATCTGCAAACAAGTGTGAATGATCTTTAAAAATGTTCATACCTTAAAACCTAGTAATTCTACTTCTAGGGAATATAGCTCAGGAAAATAATATGAAATTGGGACAAAGTTTATATCCATTTTGCATTATAGCAAAACAATTAAACAAACAACCTGGAAAAAACCTAATTTCTAATTATAGAATAGTCAAATAGGTAATACATTCATTCATTAGAATATTACATATCTAACAAAACCAGTGTTTCCAAAAACTACTTAATGTCATAGAAAAACGCTAACAAAATTCTAAGTGAAAAAAGAATATCTTAGCTCATAAAAACATGAATAAAGCAAAATATCTCAAATTGCAAAATATGATGTTTGTATATATATATACATAGATTTAAATGTAGAAAACTGTCTAGAAGGAAATAAAATGAAATACTGAAAGTGGTTATCCCTGTGTGTTGAGATTGAGAGCTTTTATTCTCTTAATTCTCTATAATAATCATGTATAACATTTATAATACAAATTATTGGAAATTTAAAGCCATGAATCAACAAAAAGTAATTAGAAGGAGCATTTTATGGCCTATAAAAGTACTTTCACACATACTGTTTCATTGTATTTTAACAAAACCCTGTTGAGGTTTATAATTGAAGAAACTAAGGCTCGGAGAAGCTAAGTGACTTGACAAGGTCACTCAGAAATAAGCTGAGGGGCCAGGATTAGTGTAGTCAAATGTGAACCAAATAGCTGTGATGGGCTAAACACTGAGAAAAGAAAGATAAATAAGACAAGGTTTCTGCACTCAAGGAGCCCAGAGTCTAGCAGAGGAGAGAGACAAGAAGCACACTACATGCTATGGACTCTAAGGAACAGGAAAGAGTGGTCAATTTTACCTAATTGGGTCAGGAAAGTTTTGAGTTTTAACTCATGAGAAGGTAATCAACAGACCAAAAAAAAAAAAAAAAGTGGTAGGAAAGATAGAAAGGGTATCACAGGCAGAGAGACAAGATTTAGTTATAGGGTGATGTCAGTATCATGGTAGCATGAAACATTCCCTTTGCCTCTCCCCTTCAATCTACAGATAGTAAAACATCTATAACTCAAAGGTTCCTCTGCCCAACACACCAGGACACCACAAAGATCCACACATCTGTACATCTGAAGGTGGGTGGATTAGAACACACAGAGGAGGCAGAATTGGGAGAAAGCAGAGGTGGTGCACACAATCACAGCTCCCCCAACTGACGCCACAGCTCTAGGGAACCCGGTAGCAGCAGGGGAGGCAGTATACATGACTGCAGCCTCCCAGCCACAGAAGTGCCCCCAGCCACAGGGCACTGGGCAGCACTGGGTGCTGGGCCTGTGACCCCAATCCCTCCAGCCGTGCTGGCACCTGCAATTCTGTCCTCCCTGCCTGTGGTAGTGGTACCTGTAACTCAACAACCCTGGACACAGCAGAGGTGCTTGAGAGCCTGGCTCCCCCCACTCCACACTGTCCTTCCCCGCACCATGGCAGTGTGGGTGACCCAGGTGACCCCAGACGTAGCGGAGGTGCCCACCATTGTGGTATCCCCGGTGGTGATACCAGAGACCTTAGCAACACCAGCAGCAGCAAGATACAAGTGACCCCAGAGGCACAAGCAGTGATGAAGAGGGCACCAGCAACACCTCTCGCAGAGGCAGTGGAGGGTGGAAAGTGTCAATTCACAAATATAGCCAGAGACAGCTCAGGTGAGAGAAACCAAAAACTTGTGCTATAGCATCACCTACTGAAAAACAAAAGAAAGGCCTCTAATTACAAACCTGATGTATTGTTAGAATCAAAGTAAACAAAGCTTTACCTAAATAAGAAAAGTGTTCACTATTTCAAATGCACTGGTAGACAAGCAACCATGAAACAACTCAGCAAGCACTATGAAAAACCATGGTAACACACTATCAAAAAAAGAAAATGACAATTCTCCAGAAACCAAACTTAAAGTCATGGATGATTGCAATCTAATTGATAGAGAATTCAAAATAGCTGTCATGAAGGAACTCAATGAACTACAAGAAAACTCAGAAAGGCAGTTCAATGAGCTCAGGAATAAAATTAATGAACAGAAGGAAAACTTTACC